AACTCATGCTATGTTCTGGAAGTATAATTATGGGAAGAGTAAACAGAAGTGACACTGGAAGAAAAAAAATGCATGCTCATGTTTATTCCTCCATGAAACACTGTTTTACTAAGTAAAACTAACTATTATTATATATATTCCTGTTTAAACTCTTCAACTTTGTCTATGGAAGAGAGGTCATGTTGGTCCATTTCATTTGTTCTCAACTGAAATAGTAAATAGCTGACAAGGACACAGAGGGAGGAACTGCCGAAAATAAAAGCAAAAACATCAGTTTCAACAATTTATCTGATGTATTGGTCAGTAATAAAATTCAAGTTGAGTAAGAGAAATTGCAGAATATTTCATCGTTTAAAAAGACAACATTAAAAATGTGTTCTGTATGAAAATTAAGTGACATAACTGCTCAATGAGTACTGTGCTCTGTCATTCTGCGGTAAAGCAGCCTGTTTGTACTTGAAATCTGGGGGAATTTACTGTAAACTCTGTATCATCTCTGGTTGCAAATATTCCATTTCCCATTCTATAACTTGCCTTGAAAAGCTCTTTGGTGTAGAAGGGCTCACAAACAAGTTTCTCCATGTTCCCTCCAGCCAGGAAGATGATGGTCACCACTCCCATCAGTACCCAGGAGAAGATGAAGCTAAATCCAACACCGCTGTGGAGGAGAACAGACAGGCCCTCAGGTACAGCCCAAGTATAGAACAATGAGAGATGTGGGTTCAGTTGTACTGAAGCTGGTGCACTGGAAATAGCCTGAGGTTTTAGTCATTAGTCAGTGGTGTCAGATGAATGTGAAATGTAGGTGGTGAAGTGGGGAATGAAACGGTTAAAGTGCTTGTTTACCTTGGATGTGTATCAATATCTCAAATTAGATTACAGGAAAAAACTGTCACTTAATATACTGTGGCAGAAAGTCACTAAAATAAGGGTTGCCTTTTGTATGAGGCCCCTCAATGATATACTGCGAACAAATACATTTATTGTGGGAACGTAATGTTGTGTTTTGCAAACAAGTTGTTCTTATGGGGACACGTTCTGTAGGTTTTCTTGAAATTTGTTAAGATTTTACAAAAGCTTTCTTTAACAGAAGCACATCTAGGTCAACGTCACTGTCAATACTCCACACTGCTATCTATATCTTTTGTGTCTTTTTGATTATATCTTTTGGTTTTACCTTTTTAGAAGCAGGTGCAGTACGTGTGAAGTGGCAGTCATAGTAGAAGTACAAGAGGTACTAAAAATCTAGTAGTCACGTACAGTATATCATGGCATCATTGGATTCAGTGGCTACAGCAGCACATTTAAAATGTTACATGTAGCTATGTCTGTCTGAGCATGTTGACGGTTGACTTACGCCATCAGCATTGTTCCTCCTGTGTTGGAGATGCAGCCTCGCGTCGTAGGCGAAGCATGCTTGTCATATCCCAGGGTGCCGCATAGCAGGCCCAGGTAGTTGAAGGCCAGGACCAGCACCACCATGCAGCAAAGAGCAATACAGCCAATCCACCTGTAAGCCACAGGCAAATTGAAACAGTTAAAGCTCTCACTAAAGCTGGCCTACCGTTAGACAAATTCATTCTGTGTCCTGTCAAAGTGCCCTTGAGCAGAACATCAAAGCCCTATTGCTCACTCATTTAAAAAATTACATAAGCTCAATGTGAAAAAAGAATTAAAATGTAATACAGATTTTATTTTTTTTAAGATAACTGAAATATCATCTTTGGTTTCTGTCCACTAAACTGTTAAACTAACTGAAATATAGATAAAGTGATATGAATATTTCATAAATTCAGAATAATAGTTCAGGCTTATACAGCACACATTTATTTTAGAATAGCTTATGAAAACAGTGTGGTCTGAAACATTTTGAGCTTCATTACCACAGACGTTAGGCGGAAATGTTGCGCCGAAGTGTATACAGTTGTACAGCTGTACCTAATAAAGTGGCTCGTGAGTGTATATGTTAGGAGCTCGGTGTACCTGTAGAAGTCCATTTTGTCAATTTCAGGGTAGTAGTCTTCAACCTTGGCATGTGCATGGTTAATAAAGATGGTGAAATTTGACAGGCAGGTCTGCACTGGGAATGTCTTGGAAAAGCGGCTGATGTTCTTGCCAATGCTGTCCAGCAAATTCTGTACACCTGAGAAACACATCAGTCAATTAATCCATTTTTTTTTCAGTGTTTTCAGTAAATGGCCTGTGTAAAGGAACAATAAACACAGCTGTCTGCTGCACCAGACTCACAGCAGAAGAAGAAAGTAAATATAGAAAAGAGTAATGCATCTCATTGATTCCATTTGTATAGTAACATGCATAGCAAGAGTTCTAATTCTTTTTTTAATGTGTTTGCTGTCACTTAAACTGTAAAAAGCCACTTACTCTCTGTAACACTCCCGGTCTGTTCAAACACCATTTGTGGCGTGTTGTTTAAAGAGGCATAACCCTGTGGAAGGAAACACACTGTGTCTTGGTCCATTCTTAATTTGGGGGTAGTTTTTAAAAGTGTCAATTAACATGGCAATAGACAATATGGAAACATGTTGAAATCCACTAAGTGAAGCACAAGTAGACAAGGAAAGTTGGTACAGTGGTTAAATAGTTTGGTGCATGTTAAATGACTCCTAAAATGCATTTACATCATGGCAAGCTGACAATGCCAACATTGTAAAAGTGTCTGTAGTAAATGGGCCACGCTCACCCTCTGGACGAAAGCGCTGAGGTCTGTTCTCAGTACATTTCTCATGTTTTCTAGCTGCGAGTTCACGTTGGGTAGCTGAGGTATAAACAGACACAGTGCTAATCATACACAACTAGAATTCACTCTTCAGTGATCCCCGTCCCTTTCCTAATATGCATTAACACTGGAAAAGACACAATAGATCATCTGCACAGTGGAATGTATTGCACTCAGTTTTGTACCCGTGTGAAGTTGGCGCTGATCTGCAACTGGGACAGTGACTGGCTGATGTTGCGGCACAGCTGGACAGTAGTGACATCTGACTGTTCTTCATGACAGCCGGGGTTGTCAAGGGTGCGGTTGATGTTGGTCCGGACCACACTCAGGTTGAAATTGAGCTTTCCTGTTCCCTCCTGGAGCACCTCCAGAGACACACTGACATTCTCAAGGGCTTCTTTGGTTTCTTGCATGACTGTTTTGAAACAGACCACAGATGAGTGGGAATAAAGACAGAGTGTGTTGGGTTGCTGTTATGAGAGGAAAACAGGACATAAAGGGGAAACACCGACCCCCCCCCATCCAAGCAATGGACTGTCTTAACATCTAACAAAGTAGAACAATGGAGTGAGACAGTTCTCACTGTTTCCGCTTCAAGCTTAGATTGCTCTTCCAAAATTTTAAATGCAGTTGTTAGAGCTGGAGTTTCTTACTCACTCAACTACACTATAAACAAACAAACTGTCCTCATGGGCTAGCTTTAGTTGAATCTATACTTCAATTTGTGGACTTGTCTATATGCAGACATATTCAGAATAGTAAAACCTCTTTTTGTCAACTATGAAGCAAATTTCCAGGGCATATGTACATTTCAGATCTCAGTAGCAAATAATGTATTAATTGGTTAACTATGAAACTGGCCTGGTTGTTTAACTCAGAAAAATGTTCACATTGTCAACATGCACTCGAATAAGGTAATATTAGCTCATGTCACACAAAAAGATTCATGCAGGACACGTGTATGCACTTGCTGTGAGGACTAGTCCTGGGCAAAGTATGGGATACTGATGTTCTGGCACTTGTGATTTGAGTTTTCCAGTTGGTGTGTCTGTGGTGTGTTCATATGGTGGTGTGACTGTCTGACATCTAAAAATTAGACTTTTGACTTTCAGACAGCATTGTTTTTGGCAAACGTATAAATAGGAACTCTGCATATAATGTGAATTTGTAGCTTGTGTTAAAAATGTTTTTTTCAGAACTGAATACATCACAAGATGACGGTCAGTGTTAACAGTCATAGGGAAGCCTGCAACGGACTTTTAGAATTAAACGGGATAAAGCATGCAAAAAACACCGATATAAAAGATGCAAGAGTGAAGGAGAGGAAACAGTGAAACGGATAAATGCTTTGCATCACTGGAGTGAGTGAGAGCACAGATGGAAGCTAAATACATAAATACCATTCTCTTCATCTTATGGCTTAATTAAATATGCAGTGCATTTCTCAAAGTTTAAATCTTTGTCTTCAACTATTTGCCTGTTTTTAGTTACTTAGTGTCTGTACCAGATACTCGCTGAATGCTCGGCACACAGCCAACATTAGGAACACAAACTGTAATCTGTCATCTGTGTCTGCTGACATGAACTATCTGCATGCCTGCTGACTGCTGTGTCATCTTTGTATCACTGTATATTCCATATTCATATACAGCTGCTTGTACAGAAAGTAACTGAATAAACTTTCATAGTTAAATTGTATTTTCTTGGGAAAAGAAGGTAAAGTAACATGACTGGTTACAGTTACAAACTTTTTAATGCTCATTTCACACTGGGAAGACTCTGATAGGATGACCACAAAGGAACAAACCATGACACTGGTGTCAAAGTTCATAAAGTCAGGGGTCAAAGGATTGTGGGTTATTGTCCAGTTACTGAATTACCTTTTAAAAAAAGGAAGACTGGATATTACAGCTTATTTTTAGTAGTCTGATTATTTATATAATTGGTCATGCTTGCAGGTAGGCCAGCAGCTATATTTGACTTAATGACATGAGATGCATAATATTTTGTGGTGCAGCTGCTTTAACCTGATTGTATCATAACTAAAAGAGGAAATTAGAAGTGGGATGATGTACCTCTGGCCATATTAAGCACTTCGTCCATGACAGGATGGACCTCCTTATCCAACTGATCATGTATCCTTCCACCTAGTATCGGACCAATATCTGTGGGAAACAAAGCATCACATCATTACAGGAGAAAAAAACTATAATACAGTCAGTGAATCTTTTGGTTATCGCTTCTGCCCCTGTTCGTCCTCCCCTGGGTGAGCACTCTACTCACCCATCTCTACCTGTAATCTAATGATATAGAGAGACCCTGTATCTTTGTATTGCAGTTTTTGTTCATCATTTGCAGGTTTCAACATTTAGGAAAGAAAAGCCTGCACTGCCATTGCAGGAGAAAAGTAGGATGAATGCTCAAGGGATCCTGTCTAACAGTCACCACTGGAGCTACAGTATGTAACTAAGACCTAGTTATGTCACAGATTTCTTGTGGAAAGTAGACACAGTACATTCAGGTAATAAGCATGATGTATGACCAAGAACAAAAACTCTGTGAATCGTTTCTGCCCACTTAATATGCTTTCAGAGACACAGAGGTCTACTTACTGTTTAGGTCATAGACGACTTTTTTCTTGGCTGTGGCATATTGAGATATTAGGTAATCAATTTGCTGCAAACAGGAGAAACAGCAGAGCAGAGTTTTACAGATGGAAGCACACAGAAAATGAGTTTTAGTCTAATCAAAGACACCAAGAGCAGTATAAAGTAACATAGCTTTCATTGCTATATTGTCTGTCAACATGAAATGGGGGAAAAAATGGCAAGATCAATTTACATACAGTGTTTATTAAACTCAGATTTTGGTTGGATTTTCAGTCTACTGCAGATGCTACGAAATAACGCCCCCAGGAGTGAGACTGAAAGTCTGGGCTTCAGAAATTCCATAGAATGATGTTTTTTAAAAACGCATTTGCAGCTGTCATATGGAATATTACAAACTTGGTATAAGCTAAAACCATAACAGTCTGGGCAGAAAAAAAGGACACACAGCTTTATACATTTGCCTTCACCTTATTTTCATTTGAAAGATTTAGAAATTTCTTGCTTTTTACCAACCATGATTGAACTATTTTGTTGTTTATCCAAATTATTTCACTAACTGAAATTTAACTAGTAGCTGTTTTTTTTCCCACATAATTTTCAAGCAGGTGTTGCAAATTGTTGATTAGTGTAATTCCCAGGACTGTTATTTGATATACTGTTGTGATCACATTTGTTTTGATAAGACAGTCTGAAATTGGGAGTTCATAACATATTGTGTTGAAACAAAGCAGAATGGTTGTGCTCTATCCTTATTATAACTTGCTTTCTCACCATTGGCGTGTCATTAACAAAGGTGTGAAGGTCCTTGATGTTGCTGTTCACCAATCTGCGTATGTTCTTCACCTGAGAACTCAGGTTCTGGTTGGCAGCATACGCACACAGGATGCCAATCCTGCACACAAATGACAAACACAGTGACCTTTCTGTCACCGAGTGCTCCTGGATCAGTCAGCACAGTAGTCCAGGGCTGCAGTCTGTACAGAGCTGGGTGATAACATGTCAACAACAGTAGGGGTCAGTATGCGCCAGCACATTCTCATTGACATTTGTGCACCTGTAGAATGAGAAGACCTGTTATGTAAGCAGAAGCACCACTGCACCTCTGTCCTGCATGCAGTTAAAATACTAAAAGTAAATCTACTCATGAATCAGAATAATGTACATTATTATTTTTGGGGGGATTGCAAGGATGTTAATGCTTTGGTCATACTATATTTATTGAATATAATTTTCAGTATTTTAATGTACAAAAGAGTAAGCAAAGTTATCAAATGAATGTAGTGGAATAAAAAGCATTAGCTTCTGAAATATAGTGGAGTTGAAGTGTAAAGTAGCTTAAAATAAAAATATTAAAGTAAAAGTACAAATACTTTGTCCCTTTCAAAACAATTACCACATGCATTTAGGGATCATACAAAAAGACGAAGTGCAAAATTGTTGTTAATATTTTGTATTTATTGTTTGGTTCTAGACTGTTTTACTTCCCAAACAATTTGGAAATGAACTTGTAGTGCAAATGCAGTTGTATGTACACTAAGCTCTGAGGCTCTGTCTATATAATCTAAGGTCTCTGCCTTGTAAACGTATTCAAATTAAATGTGAAAACCCAGAACTGCATAAAGCAGACCACTGAAGTGAGTCTCTTGCATACTTCAAACAGACCTGAGTAGCTTGGTACTAGGCTTAATTAGCTTGAGCAACATCAAGGGAAAGGCAGCCCATAATATTAAGCTGTTTCCATGACTCACTCTCATCCCAGCTGAATTTTCAGCTCAGCACCTCACAGCTATCACCATGCTTGTGTGTGCATGTGTGGTTTCATGGTTTTCTTGCTGCATAGATCTGTAAAACGGAGCAAATTTTGAGTTCTTGTAGTAATTAACTCATGAAGAGACAGTCAAAAAAAACTTGAGTATGATGGATTGTGAAGCATCAAAAAACTCTACTCTGCACTTTGACTAGGGTTGCAATGGTACAAGATTTTCACAGTATGAAAATTGTATGCGACTGTGCCAGTTGATTGAATTGACTGGTCCTGTCTGTACCTTCATTCACACAGACACACACACGCCCACAAACTTTTGTGAGCCGGGAAAGTTTGTGTGTGTTTCTTGGGTTGTTTTGGGTTCAGTGGGGGTCTTGTTGTAAATCAGAGATTAGCAAATGAACAGTGTGTTTAAATTATTTTGATTGCACCTTTTAATACCAGTGTTTATACACTCAAAGGAATAGGAGAAGGACTGACTCAAAAGCCGCTGGGAGGGTTTAGCTCAGTGGAGATGAACCAGGGTGTTCCGACTGGGTGTATAAAAGGTTTCTGTATTCGGGCCCGTGTTTCTCCGTTTCTGTGTCGGGACGGACGTGTCTCCAGTGCATGCAGGGTGAGGTTCTGCCCCTGCATCGTAGTATTGTTAATGTATGAAGGAGCAGATGCAGTGTGGCTCTGTGTAGTTCATCTGTCTAATGTTGTGGTCCCTCTTTGTAAATGTAATCCAATTTAATCTAACCTTCATTATGATGCAGATATTTTGTCACACAAGGAGTAAAAAAAATGTCCGACTCCTTCTGTTTTCAAGATTGACTGAATAGGTGAAGTCAGCACAGTAACATGTCATATGTTAGTGAGTCTCCTCACTGTATTAACATCCATCACAAGTTCCAAGACTGCAACATGTTGTCTTTAAAGTGCTTCCTTTATCTTAACAATAGTCCAAACAGGCATTTAAACATATTTCAAACTGAGGAAAGCACCAGATAGTTAAATGAGGGTGGAACCACTCAATGCTTGCTTGATAAACAAGTTTAACAATTATTAATGTTTGTTAATTACTTGTCTCTCAGTCAGTGATCAGATGGACCAACCAACCGTTTCAGTGATAGATAACAAAATAGTGAATTGCAGTGAGACTGTGTGTCAGAAACTTGTTATATAGTTTATGTTTAAAGATTTTCCAACACCCAGGCTTTGATTGGGGAAAAGCACTGGACTGATAAGTTCTGTTGTTAGCAAAGCAAATCCAGAAGACAAAACAATATGATGTGAAATAATCTAAAACATGAGGAGGGTTCAAGCACTGGGTGTTTGAGTATGTTCAAATGGAGAGTTTTTTAACTGTTACTGCCAGAAGATGGTTGGCACATAAGTGTATGTGGTTTGCGGTAAATCTAAATCTGCTGTGGGCCTCAAAGTTATTCTAAGCTTATGTGCAGCCTTTGGAAGAGGAACTCTGTTCATTTGTGCCATTGACTTGTATCCTTTCTGGAGGGATTGTGATGATGATTGCCATAGATAGTGAGTGGTCTGAGTAAGTGCTGTCATTAAATAAGTGGAGACTGAGAAACTAGGCTAAACAACTAGACTTGGACACAGTGAAGTGGAGCCATTTGGAACCAGGGGAAGATTCAGAATGGCCACTGACAACAAAAGCCTTTTGTCAGACACTTTCTCTGCCCTCTGACTGCATCTCGCTCTCTCTCGCACACAGGTACACAATTCCATAGATGTGCTGTCTTTTCCACAAATTTACACAAACCTTCTTTTCTCTGTGTCTGTATCACCAAACTTTCATCTCTTCTGTTTATGCCATTTGTCTCTCTGCTCTGACTTGTCTGTTTTCATCTCTCTCTTCACTACACCTATGTTTCTCAGTCTCCCTTTCTCATACTCTTTCAGTGTTCCCCTTCTCACTCTTCTCTCAAGCTCCAGCTTTATTCTCATTTCCCCTACAGCACCTTCACTTCTTCTTTTTTGTCTTGTTTCCTCTTTTGCCCTCAGTTCCCTCTCTTCTGTCTCCCTCCACCCACCTCCCTCTCCTTTTCTTTGTCTCTTGCTCAAGAAATGGTGTGACAGTAATATACTATCTCTGAATTTGGATAAAACTAAATTTATGGTATTTGGGAATTGTAGACTAGATAATGAACTGCAAGTGAAAATTGGGGGAGCTAATATAGAACGAGTACAGTCATGTGAAAAAATTAGCACACCCTTTGAAAGCATGTGTATTTTGTAACATGTTTTAATATATGGTTATTTAATCTCAATTTTAACAATACAGAGAGATTAAAGTAATACAACTAAACAAGTAAAACTGAAGAAAAGTCTTTTCAAGATCTTCTGTAAATGTAATTCTACAAAAATGCCTATTCCAACTGAGGAAAAAGTTAGCACACCCTAGCCCCTAATAGCTAGTGTTACCTCCTTTGGCTGAAATAACTGCAGTGAGACGGTAAAATTCATGCTATACGTACAACCAAAAAAAGATTTTGTATTTCCATAAGTGGGGTAAAACTATGGAATAATTTAAGTGTGGACATAAAAAATAGTAATAGAATTGACGAGTTTAAACATAAATATAAAGGTATGTGTCAATCAAGATATATGCAAGAACAGGCTTAATGATTAATTAGATGGAACATTGTGGGTGTGGTGTATGAATGTTAATACTCTGTTATAATTCTTTAGTACATTACTTGTGTGGTGTAGAAGATAATTAGTTATGTAGAGATATTGCTTAGGACTTAAAAGTTGTAAGATGATGTCATGGGGTAGGACTGGATAAGTCTAACTTCTTCCTACTCCGTTCAAGCATGTACTAGGTATAAGCAAATTGATATTGGATTATGTGTACAATCATGTGTGTTGTCATATCAACTGTCTTTACATGCTTGAATGAATAAATCAAATCAAAATCAAATCAAATCAAAAATCAAATCACTCCCTCTCCCTGCTGGTGTCCAGCAAGGTCTCTGGTATCGGCAGCTAAACAAAGACTCTTTGAGAAAAACATCAGGTGCTTTCCAGTGAGCTGTGTGGTACATACACATCCACCTAACTTCAGCAGAATCAAGTACGAGTCTGGTAAACTTCTGGCTTTAGTTTAGATTTATTATTTGGAAGTGATAAAATCAGGGCAGGGGATAAAACAGCAGAGAACAATGTGTTTGTGTGAAATGCAAAATGATCAAGCAAATAAACTTGTGATGAACAGCAAGGCACGCCAGGACTGGATAACAAAAAATAGTTGAGCATTGCTGTAGAAAGAATTTATATGAGAAAGTTTATTTTCTTACAGTGTCTGAGCCCAGACAACAGGAAACATGAAGTTGCAACCCCCTTGTGGGCCAGTCGCTACCAGAAGTGATCATTTCACCTCAACTTTAATGGTCTCTCATTTCACACAGAGCGATATTCCAATCCAGTTTTTTTTTTTTTTAGAAGCAACTTCATAAAACTTGAGTATAGAATGTTAAAAAGACCCATGAATTTTAATGACGGAAGCAAAGCGAAAATTGGAGTTAGGAGAAAGTGAAACTCAGGCACGAAGTATAACTTTTCACCAACTTCAAGTATACACACTGACAGACTGAGGAGTTTCCTTCCTAAATGTCAGTTTTCTCTAAAATACTGCCTCAGAAGTACAGGTACTGTTGAAACTCCTACTGAACTAAGGGCCACAACTGGAATTATTTGTTTAGTCAATGTGATCTCAAAAAAGTAAGCAGAAAACAGTCAGTACCAATTAAAGTGATCTTTAAATTGTTTAACATTTTCTTATGCTCCAGAACCCAAAGATATTCCATGTACTGTTATATATGACAGAACAAAGCTTCAAAACCTCATATTTGAGAAGCGTGAACCAGGAAATATTTGGCTTTTTGCTTGAAAAATGACTGAAATGATTCATTGATCACATGGTTGGCAATTACTTTTCTTTTGACCAATTAGTCGTTTAATTGTTGCAGCTGTAATTGAATCCAGGATTTTGTGTACAAATATGTATGATTTACTTAACCACCCTTATTTCCAAAGTAGTGCATAGTGATTTTCAGGCAACGGTTGCTCTTTAAAGTGGCCATTGGCCTTTAAAAATACTGTTATTAATTCAACTGCTG